AAGAGACTTTCTCTTTTTCAGAACTGTTAGCTTTTTGGATTTATTGTAAGCTTGCTGTTAAGATTTTTTTCAACTTTTCTACTTCTGAATCTAGTTCCTGAGAATTACTGCTTGTTGCTATACTGATGCATTTTCCCCATGCTGTTCTTCTATGGTTCGGATATTTAAAAGGAGTACTGTATTTCTCGCGGATGCTGAAGAGTATCCAGGAGTGATCCGACATGGGAGGCTCATCTGATTCCCTCCAGTTATCCACAAAGGGACTGTCTGTGTCTGTTCATAGCGTGAGGTCCAGCACTTCCTGTCACCCCGGAAACCAATCAGAGCTTGCGAAAATAAAGATTGGCTTATCACTCTTATAAGGCCAATTATACGATAAACAATTAAAAACGCCATTATTGCACCTTCTAATCATCAGAAATCAGATCTTCAAACTGTTTGAAAAAGCCCACAAAATCGTTTTTAGCAACAATTTGGATATAAAGAATTCTGCGAAAGCACAGAAATTAGCTTAGGTCGCATTGTCAAAAGTTGGAGACCGGTCAGCCCAATCCGGAAGCCGGTAAGAACTCTCATGTTATTGACAAAGTTATCAGGCCTATTAGCTCCTCCTTCTTTCTATTAAAACTCTTGAGACATTGGGCCCGCAAGAACTCGGCAGTCAATAGAGTCTTTGAGGTTGAATAGAACTTTAGAAGCTAAGCACCTCAATGTAACAGAAGTACCTGTGTAAGAAGCTATACTCTGGGCTTAATATTAAGGAGATAACGAAGAAGCCAAAGGCCGCCTTTACTGCTACAGAGGAGGTATTAGGAATAGAGTTTATCACCTAAATTAAATATCCATGCAAAACCATGCTAAACCCCCTATGGAGTAGGTTATGGAGCCTCATCGGAGGTGGCTACAATTATGGCAGCATTGTGCACACTATTTTCAACGCAGCTTTTTAAAAAGTGTAGCAGAACGATACTACTAAACCTGAGCTCATTAACAGTGCGCTCTTTAGGGATCTGACCTCACAAGAAATAAAAACAACTTACTTCGTTAAGAGGCTTGTTTGGGCTTTTTTACTCTACCACTGGACTTTCCGCACCACGTGTGAGCTCAATAAGTGTTGGTTAGTAACCGGTCTTTATTGCCCAGAATGGAACGTAAAAGGTCTATTTAATTATTTGCTCTTAGAAAGGTTCAATATGTCTCAATGATAGTAGTTCTAAAAGAGGAAAAGTGAGATAGAAACCTCTAGAACTTTTTCCCAAAATGTGCAGCTCCACAACACTAAGCTATTTATACCTTCTGAGAACCAGATGAATTGGCTGGAATTGATATTAACTGCCTCAGGAATCCTGTGTATCACAGCGGGCCGGCGTTCGTGGCTCTCGATCATCAGCTTGATTACCTAACCTCATCTAACGAATAATGTATCAATTTATAGAAGAACAAAAATTTGTTAGGACCACTTTTCTTTGCAATGCCTGCAAAACAAGGTTATTTAAAACTACAAAGTGCTAAAAATACTACTAGTGTAATTAAAACTCAGTGTTTCGAGCCCGTTCGAACCCTAATAGAAATATTGTTCATATATACTTGTATAAGACAATGTGGCAATTTTAACAGTTTGATACATTTTATAGCCATTTGTGAAGAATAATTTTCAATACAACAATGATGACTGACATCTATTCTTGATGTTTGTAATAGAAGTTTGCAAGTAACGTCATTTGTAAGATTTGTTTAAATTGTTGTTGTTGAATAATTATGTCATTTCCAAAAATGTTGCTAAAATTATGATGATAAAATGAACATACCAATTTCCGTTGGGCTTCCTCTATTCTTCGGTTGTTTTCAGCAAATATATCTTCCAGTTCCTCTCTCTTCTTTTTCTCGAACTCCTTTAAAATAAAAAAATATATCTTGTGTGCAAACTGAGTGCTTCATATTTTTGCAAATAAAGTAAATAATAGCCACAAAGCATGATATATAGAGACAATTGTGTTTTATAAGTATATTTATATATATATATACTATATATACTATATATCTACAGTTACGGACAATAAAATCGAATCATTCAGAGTACTTCCTTTAATTTAATTTAAATTCAATATATTAAAATATATTTTTACTTTACTTCTCGTCAAATGTTATTTGAACAGTAAAAATTTTGAAAAGAAATAATTCATAAATATTGCAAAAAGCAAAGCTAAACTACAAAATTCGAAAATCAGAGGTCAAAAAATAGAATTCTAATATCTTATATTAAAAATAAAACATATGTATTTTACGAAAAATTGTTAGTACTTTGCAGAGTAACCTTTATTGTCTAATTAAGCTGCAAATCTTTTCAGCATAGACTTAATTAGACTAAGGCAAGTGCTCTGCGGAATAAATTACCASTCTTCTTGAACCCTTTTCTAGAGTTCCCCCTTATTTTTGGTTAAACAGGTAGAATCTTTTGTTCAATGATTTTCCCTAAGTTTTCGATGACTTTCTACTTGGGTGATTGCGCAGATCAAGTCATAATATTAACTCCATGATCTGAAAACAATTTTTTTGCAAGACTCGAAGTATATTTCGATCCACTGTCTTGTTGGAATTGCTAAATTAAAGGTATATTCCATTCAGCATATGGGAGCGTGACTTAATCTAAAATTTTAACGTACAGGGTGGCTGATGAAAGCCGCTACCAAAAGAAAATTAAATAACTTTTTTTCTATTTAATTAATCTGGTTACTTTTTTTTTATTTTGTAGATTGACTTTTACATTTAACAACAATGGATAACTGGGACACTGAAAGAAGAATTTGGATTGTCCGCCGCTACCACGCACTGGAGTCCGTAGTTTTGGTTCAAAGAGAGTATAGGCRCACGTTTGGCGGCAATCCTCCGAGCAGATGGACCATAATGAGACTTGTAAACAATTTTGCCGAGCATGGGATAGTCAACAGAAGACCTTACCATCGAAACCCATCAGTTCGAACGGAGGAAACAATCGCTGCTGTAGCTGCTGCCATAAAAAACAATCCACGTGTTCATCATCATTACAGTCAATTATGCACAAAGATTTGGACTTATTCCCATATAAAATTCAAATGGCCAACAAACTGATCGCTGCAGACTTGCCGATTCGCTTGGAATTTTGCCAGAAGATGCTTCAAATSGTGGAAGAGGATGGAAACATGTTGAACTGTCTTTTCATGTCTGACGAGGCCCATTTCGATTTAAACGGCAACATAAACAAACAAAAGTGTCGAATATGGAGTGCTTCCAACCCACAGATACTCCATGAGACGKAATTGCATCCACTTCGTGTCACAGTGTGGTGTGCAGTTTCATCACGCTGCATTGTCGGGCCCTACTTCTTTGAAGAACACGGTCACACCGTTACGGTTACTGGAGACCGTTACTTGAGCATGTTGAGAGAGTTTTTCCATCCAGAATTACGCCGAATGAGAATTTCTTTCAAATCTGTGTGGTTTCAGTAAGATGGTGCAGCCCTCACATAGCCCAACCTGTTATGACAGAATTGCGACGAAMATTTCCCAATAAGCTGATATCCAGAAACTCCACATTCCGTTGGCCACCCAGGTCGCCTGACCTTACTGCACCTGACTTCACATAGCATAACCTGTTATCACAGAATTGCGACCAAAAAATTTCCCAATAAGCTGATATCCAGAAACTCTACATTCCGTTGGCCACCCACTTCGCCTAACCTTACTCCACCTGACTTTTTCTTGTGAGGTTATTGCAAGCAGGAAGTCTACAAAGCAAAACCAACAAATTTGAATGAACTAAGGCAATCTATTCGAGAAACCATTGCGGCTTTTCCTGTCTCAACTCTCGAACCAGTAATGAACAACTCTTTGGTAAGATGCCGCACATGCATCAACGAGCAGGGCTGGCATTTAAATTCGATTATTTTTTAAACTAATTAAGTTATATTTAATAAAATTGAATGAGCTTCCACATGAATAAAAGAAAAATGAATTCCATACACGAAAAAAAAAATTATTTGAGTTTCTTAATGTAGCAAAATTTATCAGCCACCCTGTATATCTAACGGTTGACGATTGCTTTTATCTAAAAGGTAGATCCGACACCAAACCATGAGAAACAATCTAATCTCAAACTATTATGTATCATCGCCACAGTGTTTGGAGGCTTAGTCGTATAGCAGGCGCTCATATATGTATATGTCTTTTTTGGACGTCAGAGCCCCACCTATTATTATTAAATTTTCAGTCTCCAGACTATAGGACTTTGAACCTTGTTTTATTTTAATTTAGCACCACCCTATTTAATATGTCGTTTTGCAACCTTTATACGATTGTATCCGTTTACTCAGCATTGGCATATTTTTGGAGAAACTACATCGACTATCTTGCGAGCAATACATTGTTCGACTTTCGCAGCCATTTTTTGTTCTCGGACTCTGTTTTAACCTTTTTTTAAGAGATCTTAAGCCATTAAATACATTATTTTGGGACCTATTCAATATCTTTGCAATTTTCCTTTGCGTGTGATCCTTTCCCTGCAAATTTTTAACGCACAATATTCCTTACAATGTTTCGCTTGACCCATTATTCTACGTAAATACATAATTGACACAAGTATTCCTTCCACAGATCCAACTGACCTTATATATCTACTTACTACACTTTTTAAATTCAATATTTTCCATTGATGGAATTATTTTTAGTTGATTTTATTATATTGTTGTTAAACACGAGGTACGCTATTTACATTTTCCATTTAGCTGTAAAACTGGGCAATACTATCGATTCCTCTGTTTTTAATAGTACTTATGGTTACATCTGTTTTTATGCAAAAAAAGTTGCTACATAATTGACACATTTAAAAACAAATTAAATACACCACTGCTTCAAAACAAAACCTTTGATTATATTTTATTGTCCGTAATTGTAAATTTCTATAAGAAATAATTGCATAATTTAATATTTTACATCATAAGTGTTTTGATAATTACGAGAACAGCTAACTTAAAACAAGTAAGAAAGGGAAATGTTCGGGTGCAACCGTGTAACTTATACACAGACCTACCTATATATTCGGCATAAGATTTGTTAGAAAAACCAAAATCATTATATGTAGTCATTATACAAAATCAACCGGATGTTCTAAAATCCTGGAAGTATGGGGGCTAGGTGAAGTTTTCGCCCAATTGCATTCATTATAGGACGTTCATTGAGATAGCTCAAATATTGGTTGTCAAAAAAGTCTCCCGTTATTTTCGCTAGTTGGCGCCGAGAGCGCGTAGTTCTAGTTTTATTCGTCGCATCGGGTCATGCTATACCTTTTTGGAAAGCTCATTTCACGCGTTTGATTGATTTTCTTTTAAGCCGTTCGTTAGTTATAGCGTCGCAAACATGGAGCAAAATAAAGAGAAATACGGCATATTTTATGGTACTACTACGATAAAGGCAAAAATGCATCTCAAGCCGTCAATAAAATTTGTGCAGTTTATGGACCCGATACAGTTTCCATTTCCATCGCACAACCATGGTTTCAACGTTTTCGTTCTGGTGTAGAGGTCGTCGAAGATGCGCCACGCTCCGGAAGGCCTGTCGTCGAAAATTGCGATAAAATCGCTGAATTGGTCGAAAGAGACCGGCATAGTAGCAGCCGTAGCATCGGTCAAGAGCTGGGCATGAGTCATCAAACCGTTATAAAATAAAATAAAAAATAAATAAATAATACCGCAAGACTTTTTTGGCAACCTATTATTAGCTGATATATCCAGCATAAAGTCACTAGGTAGTTCGAAAATCTTTTCATTAAGTATATGGGGGCTGCGGGTAGTATTGAACCGATTCCACCTATTTTGGATAGACAGAATGACTACTGCGCGAAAAGGATTTTATCTCAATTTATATTTCATATCTCACACATTGACCGATATTTTCGAACAAAAGTTAACTATAAGTATACGGTCCACATATTCGGTACCTAGGGTGTTGAACAGTTTTGGTTGGATTAGAACAATTTTTTTGTTATTAAATTACATACGCTACAAGGCATTATTCGTTCAAAGTTTAAACCCATTATATTAAATGCTTCTTCATTTCTGTACAGGAAAGTAAAAGGATCTAGTGGAATTTAAAAAGCTGCTATATGGGAAGTAGGCGCGGTAGTTGTCCGATTTCGCTCAGTTTCACAGCGGGACATAGAAATATGAAAAGCATGCCCCGTTCCAAATTTTATCGAAATCGGTACGCCCATCTACGAACTCGCTTTTTTTGTACTAAGGCACCTACATACCAAGTTTAATCAAGATATCTCACTTTTTACTCAAGTTACATCTTGCACGGATGGACGAACATACAGACAGGCAACCGGATTTAAATTTTTCTCGTCACCCTGATCATTTTTATAGATAAGACGCACAACCATTAGGTGAACAAAACTATAATACTCTGCAACAACTGGTTGTAAGAGTATAAAAACGACTATTTTTAATACTGCTATACTACCAAAGATAAGAATAAAAGAGGTTTTCAACAATAAAAATATCAGCTGTTACTTTAAATATTAAAATAAACATGTTTAATAAAAAATAAAGAGGAAAACTTATATTAAATGTATACAAATTTGATTTACGAAATGTTTGCACATAGTACTTAAAAAGTCCGTTTCTCAATCAGAAAAATTATAAGTAGTTAGTCAAGTATGGTGAAGATTGCAAGAGAGAGAGTAAGGAAAATTCTGAAAGCAAACTAGGTAAAGGCCTCAGCATGGGCCGGAAACCCATCACAAGCATTTTTAATAAAACTTTAAGATTGAAAGCTTATAAGAAATAATGAATTAATCGGTCTAACCGAACGACAAAAACAAATGGGAAACCATAAACATCTATTCAACAAGAATCTGCACCGGCTCATATAGCAAGAATTGTTCAGTAGTGGTAGAAAGACAATATGCCGAACCAGTATTCACAGCAGCAAGAATGTCAACCTCGAAATCCAACTCAGAATAACTCTTGCCAACAGGTGCTACTTCGGACTGAATAGGCAATTGAGAAGCAAAATCCACTCTCGCCAAACAAAAACGAAACTCTATAAGTCATTCATTATTCACGTCCTGCTACATGGTGCAGAGGCTTCGACGATGGCGACGACATTCACATAGTTCAGCAAATTAAAAGACAGAGGCTACGCTGGCTAGGTCATATTGTCTGAATGGACAAAAATTCTTTAGCTTTGAAAGTATTCGACCCAGTCCCCGCCAGTGGAAGCAGAGGAWGGCCTCCAGTCCGTTAGATAAACAAGGTGGATAATAACGTGGATTTGAATATAAATTGGCGCCAAGCAGCGAAAAGGAAGAATAACTGGCGCCCTATTGTAAAAATGTGTATTAAAAAATGTTGAAATTGAATTCAAGTTCACCGTGGTAGAAAACAAAAAACATAATACAGATCTCCTATTTTTTTATCTGTATTTATTCTATCTTTATCTGTATTTTCTGTACAATAACCAAATATTGTCAGAAAAATTACGTAAATCCCTCCACTCTCTTGTTTGTTTTTTTTAATATCAAACCGGTTAAGTTATTGTCGTGGTTCCATAAAGGATTTTGGCTCTATAGTTAAGTCTATTACTGTAATCCCAAACGGTGCAGATAAGTGACAGCAAATCTTAAATAATGGCGAGCAAACGTGATTAAAATCAGGTGCAGGCTTCTAGTAGACAGAAATAGAGACAGGGTTGGGTATTGGAAGAAGTTATACACACACATTACCCTGATCAAATTTCAAGATGCTCTGCCGGCCGAGCTATTCAAATGCGGTGACGAAGAACTGATAAGAAGCATGAATCAGCTTCTTTGTAGAATATGGTCGGGCAAATGCCCGACGATTGGAATTTAAGTGTACTCTACCCAATCCGCAAAAAGGGGATAAGCCTGCTTAATATCGCATATAAAGATGAAGAGGAATACGAAGTTTATGATCTTAACTAAAGCACGAGTACGTATTTTTTCCTTTTTACTTATGATGACCCTGTAAGCAGTTCAAGCGACTTCCGGATATGTAGTCGTAATGGCCGAGTTTTGAATATTTTCTTTTGTAAATTTAGCAAAATATTATAAGGATATGGAATAATAAGTTTTAATAAAATATTTAACTTTTTATGTGAAAAATAACAACAGATTCACTTAGAGCGGCGGGGTCGGCGTGAGCTAGTTTTCGTTCAAATGAAAATAGTTTGCAAGAAAAGTTCGGAATTTATGCTCAGCGCAGTGAAACACTGTTAAATTTTATATTGAACTTATTAAATAAACGCATTAATAAAGCTTGTATACCTCTCGATGACGAGCTTCTTCACGAATTTGCTCTCGTTGTTTTTCCAATTCGAACATCAGCTCCCTCTCCATTTCAGATTTGGCGGCTTCTACTCTCCGCATTACTTCTTTTTCAATTTCATCCTTACGCCTTATTAGTTCTTCTTCTACACGTTTTTGAACCAATAGCTCAATGCGCTTACTGGTTTCATCTTTAATTATCTAAGAAAATTTACAAAAAAAAAAGTTTGTTATATTCTTTTAAAATAGGCCGTCTAAGATATAGTTAAGCATGTATTACCTAAAAACTAAACATCAAAACAAAAGAAAATCATACAAAGAATAATTTCAGAAAATATGTAATAAATATATATTCCCGCAATTTGCACAAATCAAAGTTGGGGAAATATTGTCAGGTGTTGATTATATTCAAATTTTTCGACGAAACAGTGAATATATTTGGTATCATATTAGATTGTCAAAAAAAGTCTTGCGTTATTTTCGCTAGTTGGCACTAAGAGCGCGTAGTTCTAGTTTTATTCGTCGCATCGGGTCATGCTATACATTTTTGGAAAGCTCATTTTACGCGCTTAATTGATTGTCGTTTCTTTTAAGTCGTTCGTGAGCGTCGCAAACATGGAGCAAAATACAGAGAAAATACGGCATATTTTACAATACTACTACGATAAATTCAAAAATGTATCTCAAGCCGTTTTACTCTTCAGCTAATCATTGAGAATAAAACTACAAACCGGAATTTTACTAGTCCTAGTCCCTTAAAAGAGCGTCTGACTCATCTTATGAAATACTCAGTAGGATAACGCAAAGTTAATCTTGACGCGATAGCGAGACTTCTTAATTCTTGTATCTTCTTTCTTTATCCGCCGAAACAACTACGTTACCGCAACGGGTTTGTAAACCTCAACGAGTGGCGTGCAAACCATGAAACGTAATTTGTCTAAAAACGTGTATATTAGACATAGTAAACCCTGTAAAAATTGTAGACAGTAAATCCAACGCGAACTTCGGAATTTACCAGTGTGCTGCCAGTGTAACAACTTATAAACTTAAAACGAATTACCAATAACTGTATACTAAGAAATTATAAATATTTTTTTTTTAAATCAATAAAATTTCACTATCAGAGGAAATATTACTTTCCGACACTAACATGACCCGAGTGGCTTACCCAATAGGGAACGTTGAAAAATTTGACGGAAACCTTAGTATAGACCTTTATTAACCGCATCGATTACAGCCTCGCTCTATATTAAACCAACCACGCCCGGCAGCAGCACATTTTTTTTTAGCCATATTGAACGACGCATCAGCGGTGTTGTGATGATATATCTGGGAATGTACAACATTGCGGAAAAGTTGCCTTAGTACTTCCGGTTTCCAATGCAACTTTTTGTTTTGAGATCGGATTGCATCTCAACCCCAACTCCGGCCTTGAAATTTCGGAAATTCGTCTAAAATCGTGAAATTGTCTACCTAGCGCCTGACATACGCATCTCATGGCAAAATGTATAAAACAAAAGTTATTTGTCACGTCATTTGCTACCGAATGATCATGGCCGTAGGACGAACCGTTCCCGAGATACGAGCGAAAATGCGGCGCAAGATGAAAATTGGTGCAGCTCGCAGCTAATTTGTATTGGTCACCCAGAACCCACCGCGTGGAGGTGGCTGCTCTTCCGGTTCCTCCCAAGCACAACCCAACCAACCAACCATATGTCAGGCTTGTTTTAGTCTGAATCTGTGTCAAATTTATTGATAAAATCAGATTTTGTACTTGTTGCCTAGATTTCAGTGTAGAGCGTATAAAACGATCAAGAGATTGAGGGCCAATAACTTTAGCAGATGCCTCTACCACAAGTTTGACGGTTCTCTCGACTGCCCCGGTGTGAGAGAGGAATTCACTAAATTTCCATACCTCTGCAGTGTCACCCGACAGCCCTTTCATGAGTTAGAAACTGAACAAAGAACTGGTGGAAC